CCTGTGGAAGGACACCAGAACAGGGCAAATGCTCCCTGACTTTCCTCCAGCAAACTAAGCCAGCTGATGTCTCAACTTGCAAAGCATCCCATGGACAAGAGCTGCAATGCTAATTTCTTCATCATATGGAAAAAATAAGTAGTAAACTCTGCTCTTTTTTCCATACATGGCAGCCAGTTATTTCCCACTTGCATCCTAGTAAGTGAAAATGGGAAAGCTCCATATTTTAGTCGTCTTACCAAACAATCTTCTATGTACTTGTCATATACCTTTAGTCCTGACAGCTCTTTCTGTAAGTGAAGATTTCATTTCTTCGCATAAAAAACGTGCTACATCCCTTTCATCACTGCTTTTATCCTTCCCTGTACTTCTGCTAGATCTGCTAAAACCTTCGAGAGATAAGCAGAATTACCACAGCTATATACTCTAACGTAATGATATTTGTTGATTTATTTCCTATTTCTCATTTTTAAATCTGCCTCACTAGACACAAGTCTGCAAGTGCTGACAATCTGCCTCATATTCAAAGCAAACTCTTGATGTTAAATGTCAGGGTTTGCAACCTCAAGACAGCAATTTCTAAGCTGAGTTGGCCAAACAATCAGTAGCAAACTACTTATTTGAAGCTAGTTCTTCCTCATGTCTACCTGCTTAGCAGTATCAGAAAATAACTAATGATATTCATTAAACACATTCTTCACCTGAAATACATCACATGAGCAATTGTTTTAATTATTAAAGGGATGAAAAGTAATTACAGAGGAAAACTGTCTGCAAATTCAGTCTAGGCAAGAAATACCCAAGGGGAAGTCATCATTATAACATTGTCCATGTGTTGCAAAAGTCAGTTGAGGAATCCTTGGTGTGTTGGCTCTCTTCTTTCTAAGCCCTTGCTAGATGTACAATGCACAGCCAGATGACCAAGCACCTTCCCTATCTTGCTTCTGAACATGGCACATATGGGCCCCCACCATGAAGGTGTCTTCTTTGAGAATATGAAAGTCAATACCCCTTCATGGCATAGCAGATGATTTAAGTACATTTCAGTAGAGCACATCAAGAAGCAGAGACACGGTGCTCTGTAATTAAATAATACTTTATACTGGTTCATGACAACGTAACACCGAGGCGACAGCACCTGCCATTTTCATGTGAAGTAATTTACATAAACTTATTCCTCTACTTCTATACCTCCAGCTGCATTCTGTAATTTATACAGACATACAAATTCTTCCCTCTGACATTAACAAGAGAAACAAGTTGAATAATCAGCTTGCAGTAGTAAGTGCATTGCATTTACTATCAAGCAAGCTTTTTTAGTTCAGCAGATGATTAATCTTCCCTCTGCGGGTAGAGTACCAGGAGATGCAGAGAGCTGACAATTGCTCTCGGCTTCTGGCCATGCTCTCCACACGCTTACCTTGCAACAACAGCATTTGCTGGATCCCTCCAAGAGCTGCTCTAATTCATTAATCCAGCAAAAGAATTGGACAGCTTTCTGCCAGGTCAGTGAATTAAAGTGGCTCACGTAAGGAATGCCAGAGACAGTAAATAGGAGTGGGAGTTTGCGCTTGGAGCCAGATCTCTCCTTTCTGACAGCAGTGAATCTCTTAGATCAGCTCAGCTGCCAGAGGTACTGCAGCCTAATTAGCATCTCCCCTTGCAGCTAACTGTGCTGGGTGTTTCCATTAGGGATAAGAGCACTAAGGTAAACCAAGAAGGGGGAAGGGGGAAGAAATCAGGCAGCCCAGCACAATAAGTGAAATGCTGAGCGTCAACTGTTTAAGAGAAGGGCTGCAATAGGCAGACCAAGTAGGCCAAATAAGGTCCTGTACCTCAGCCTATTTTTAATCCAGGTCTTTCAGCTGTGCTTTGGGACAGTATCAAGAGAAAGGACAGATGCTTGGACATGAAGACCGAGAGGTCTTCCTGCCACATGCCAGGCAAGAAACAAAGCCCCACAGATGAGACTTGGTCCTAAAATAGAGATTCCAAAATATGAAGCTGTTTGTATTACACTAATACTGTGCCAATTTCTTTTCTATGCCCCTAACCTGAGACTCCGAATGCTTTCCACTACATTCAAACCTTCGTAACCAAGCTCACCCTCAGCTCATGACACCAACCAGTGTCTGTTGTGTCCCCTCTGTTCAGGGTTTTAGTCTGTGTAGAAAGGCATGGACTTCCAACTCTCAAAGTTTATTTTACATAAGTTCACTGCTGATCTTTGACCTCAGGCTCCCAGACCACTGTATTTTCACTCAGACACTACCACTAATCTCAAATCATTCTATCTAGCTAGCCAAGTTTCTATGAGAAGGTGCTCCCACCCTGTGTCTTAAGGACCCTGTTACAGACCACATTACATTGCTGTGTAACATATGACCAACGAGATCAAGCCCTCTTTCTATTAGTGACCTTTAAGCTACGCCCACATTCTTTGTTACTTTTGCAGTTATCCTAAAGGCTATCAGCCTGAAAAGCAGGAAAGGTCCCTATCTGACCACACCTTTTGCTATCTCCCTCTGTCCTGCCAATCACAGGCCTTGTTCTTAAAAGCAAGCAGGGAACTTATCTGTCCCGGCTGAAGGAATTTCTGAATCATCCCATGGGAGCACAGGCTTCAAGTCAGCAGCTAAAAAATCCACTGGCTGTTGAGTGTGGGGTATCGCCTTCACACACGTGACAGCAGCTGTGCTTGTCAGTCACAATAATGGGAGGGAAGCCTCATACCTCATCCATGACAGCTTTTTGCTCTATTAAAGTTAGCAGTACTGTTTGAGCAAGATGGTAAAATGGTTAAAGGACAAGATGCCTTAAAGCCTAAAAGTCTAGTCCATACAGACTGAACGTGTGTGTCAAACAAGTAACAGCCGACACACAAGATGGACAAAATGCTTAGCATTAGCTGTAGATGCTTTAGATTAAATAACCAACCTGTTCTGCTGTATTTTAACAGCATTCTTCAACTTGAGTAACTACTAGCCTTCTAGCTTCCCCTACATCCTACATCATTAATCAGCATATTGAGGAGAAGAAAAGTTAAAAGGAATTACATCCTAAGGCAGCCCACAAAATCAAAATAACTTCATAGAGGACTCCTAGACAGAAAGATAAAGAGACTTGGAAGATCCAAGTGTACGTGAAAGTCTGGTGTGAGAAAAGCCCCTGGTTGAGGCAATTTACCCCTGCTCCCACAGGTTTCTTCATGTGCCACCATCTGGGATCCTCTGGGTTTGATCAGTTCCAGGCATAGCAGCCACACCAACACCCTTGTGTGTGCCCTTAGCCTTTCCCAGCCAGCTATGGCCACAAGCCTGACTCTGCATGCTCAGCTTGCACGTCTTTAACCACATCAAACGGTCACTCCAGACGTGCACACCTGTTTCCAACAGTCAGAACAAGTGCTGTGTGCTATTCAGCCTGTTTCTTGGTATACCCCCTGCCAGTCAGGCTCCTTCCACAGACTCCTGGCAACACCACTGCCTGCCAGCAGTCTCCCAGCAACACTCCCTCCCACACAGATGGGTTCCCAGTCCCTCCTCACAGGCTAGCCACAGGCTGTGGGCTCCTTGGAGCCAGCATTAGTTGATGAAACACAGAGCTCAGCCCTGCAGAGCCACAAAGATGGCTCCTAATATGGAAGAGGAGCAGGAAGGCTGGCAAGAGCTTACATCCAAGGTCAAGGCTAACATCATTTCCATTAAAAAGAAATGCTCTTAAGCTCTGGACAAGGATGGGAACAGCAAACACGCGGGGAAAGCCACTGCCCTGTTTTTTATTCCCTGTTTCCAGCTTCCTCATCCAACTGGTAGTGCCTGAGGTAGTAGTTTGCTGGAGATGGGCAACCCAAATCTTACGTGCTGGAATGGTATAGGACAATGTGGTACTAAAATGATGACTTGCATTTCTGCACACTGCATCAGTGCTTGGTTTTATTTCCTGTGTGGTCTTTCCTTATCTACTTTTTTTGCCAAGCAAGGCACCCTAAGCTCCTTTTCCGCACTAGCAATGCGCCTTACAGAGCGTGTACTTTTTCAAGACGCCGAAGTTGTGGCATGCCCAGGAAGAAATCCAAGGTATCTTACTGAAGTCATGATCAATGGTGCCAACCATGCAGCCACTGCCCACTGCAGAAGGAGCAGAAGCACACATCAGGAACCATGAACATTTGAGCTGGCACTATCAGTTCCTCCAACTGTTGGCATTGAGTTCATTCAGTACTTACCAGGGAAAAAAAATAATCTCTGCAACCCAAACACCAACTCCAAGTAAAACTGAAAGCATTAACAGATTAAATCCGCCCCTGAGCGCCGAAGGCTCTCACCATAAGGCTCTTTATTAGGAAGTTAAGTCTTAACAAGTGGCTTAAGGGGTGGATAAAGCTTTTCCTGGGATAATCTGTCAGCATGTTGCCCAGTGCCAGTTCCAGGCCATGGAAAGAAGAAAGAAAAAATATAAGATGATGAAAATCTTGGTTTGGCAAATGGATGACCAGTAACCGAGAGCTCATCTCCTATCCTTGCTCCCTGAAGTTCCCTGCTGTCCTCAGAAAGTCAAAGAAAAATAATTTTCTACTCTGTTAGCTTCCTGAAAACAAAACCACATTGGGATTACACCTAAGATGCATGTGCTCACCCTAATTCTTTGTACTGTCAACCCTCCAGAATTTGCCTCCATCACATCTATTTGAACCATTCGCCAATTAACACAAACTAATTAACACTTTTATCAGAGACTGTCTTTGGGCAACACCACCACGGTAAAATCACCATGATCATGATTTCAAGTACTACTGTTCTCTGCAGGCACCAATTTACAAGGGGAACATGCAAAAGGGGAAACCCAGTAATGGAAAGTCAGAAGCCACGTTTTGTTTATAATTCTCTCCTTTCAAGTCTACTGCTGGCTTGCTGCACACTTGAGAAACAGCAATCTAATCAGTGGCTGCCTCTCCCCAAAGCAGTGCGCCGCTCTGGCTGGGCACCCTGTGCACTTACTGCAAGAGATCCGTTCTGCGTGCTGGCCGTGTTCGTGCTCTGCTCCCCATGCGGCTGCGTGCTTCCGTAGAGCGTCAGATTGTGCTCGCTGGTCTGGCCTGCATAGTCCTGAGTGTGTGGCACCCCATACTCTGTGGGAATTCCATTCTGTGGGGGTGGTGGAAATGGGATTGTGGTGAATGGCTGCACCATTGCATCAGGAGTTGCTGATGGCTCCTGGTTACCCTTAAGAAAGGAAAAAGGAGAAAACAGCTTTATACTACAGAAGATAGATCAAAACATCAGCCTGAGAGACAACACACACGTTCATGAGAATATCCCACCCACCGTCACCATAGTATTCCACAGTCTTCTATTATCTCTCCTATCAAAAAGCACATGCCTTGCTCCTCTGAGCCATGACACTGTTTTCTTAATCTTTTCAGGGCAATTTTCTTGCTACTGGGTGGCATATAGCGAACAAATTACAGGGTTTGCAGATTGCATACCCCTGTGATCTCACACAAAGCTTTACACACAGTAAGGTATTATTTCAGAAGAGGGAAGAGGCACTCACACATTGGAACAGAGAAGAAAACAGAGAAGAACAGGGTATCTCAACACCCCTAGAAGTACCATAACTGGGTCCATCTCCTCCAGCCTGACCCCTCATTGCTCACAAGCAACCCCATAAGCAAGCACACCAAGTGGTTCAAAGCACACCTCTCTGTTATGTTACAGTGATAAAAAGTACAGTTTTTAAAATCCATCTGCAGGAGCCCCCTCCTTTGCCCTGACAGCACTGCATACACAGCACAGGTATCTGTTGCTGGAATATCCCATTTGCTTCTTGCTGGCCATGCAGGAGACACCAAAGAGCTGTAGGAAAACAAGCTGAGATCGCAAGCCAGCCACACAGTCACTCTTTCCCAATCCTGAGCATCTCTACAATCACTCAAGGCACTAATTACCCACTCCTGCCTCAGCTTAGGGTATCCCACAGAGACCTCTTGCATAGTGGACTTCTTAGAAGCTTTTAGCGCTGTCTTAGATATAGCTAACACCAATCAGATGACACAGAAACAAAGAACTGACCATGCAAAAGATACCCCCAGAAGACAATAAAAATGCTACCCCCACCATGTCAGAAATCCACACGAAGGAAACAAAAAAGCATGCAGCCCTACAGCCTCTGCAGGGATCTCACCTAGGGGGGAGCTGCATTCAGCCACCTGGGGTGAAGGAGAACAGCCTTGACATTGAAGCCCAACCCTGGGAAGCCCAGGCTGCTGCACTGCTCCTACTGCTTTCACCGCCGCAGCAGAAAAAAAATCCACAGAAAAGATTTATGATAGGAGGGCTGTTTGATTTATGTGCATGTCAACAGACTAATCCTGATTTTAAATTTTGGCTGCTGTTCCAGCCCTGGGTCCTCCCCCACAAAGCCTGGAGGTGCTCGAGGCTATTCTGACACCAGCATGCTTAAATCAATGGAGTAAAAGCGAAACAGACCTTGTCCCGTGGATAGGAAAGGCAGAGTGGGAATTACCAAGCAGCCTTTCAGCAGAGAGCATGCAGGGGCTGACGGACCTCCAAAGAAGCCGGACAAACCTTTCAGTCCCTTTATCAGCCTACCTGCAGCTTTCCCTTCCGGGCGGAGGAAACAATGATAAACGCAGTGCACCTCCAGCCAGCACCAGGTCATTCAGACACTGGCTGAATCCCAAATCTGCTCTGACATTAGTCTATCTGGTCTGCCTCCCCTGGGGGCCACGTGGCCACGCGCTCCTGCAGCTGGGGAGAAGGAGAGGGAAGGGCATTCAATACCACTTAGCAGAGCCGAGCTGCAGCCTTGGCCCGTGCTGAAGAAGGAACGGTTTCAAGTCCAGCCTTGCTGCCTGCAGGAACACAAACTCCGCAGCCTTATCTGAGAATGAAGAATTCAGGGGAGCATGCCAGCCGTGGCCAGTGCTCAGCTCCTTGCACGCACTCCCCCAAGCACTTGCAGCCCTGCGTCGCGTGCTCGCAGCTCTGCAGAGGTTTTTCACGCACCAAGCACATTTTCTGAAAGCAGGACAGGATTTTTGTTTCCCCCTCAAAAAAGGAGGGCAGCCCCACCAGCCCTCCAGTTCTGCTCATTCCTTTGCTATTCTCAGCTTCAAAGCAAGCCACTTCTGACTCAAACTAATCCATCACCAAGATCTGCAGAGCGAGTTCTAAAGCAGGAGGCAGGACAGAGAGAACGACGGCCATCCCACTGCAAACCAGGTATCAGGAATCCTACTGCTCACCTGCTCAGACCATTCATCCCCTGACATGACAGCTCCATTCTGTCCACGTACTGTCTCCTTTCCCAGCTCTTCTGTTTACAGTATTTCATTGCATTTGATGGTCTGCATTCTTCCCTACAGCCCACCTTGTTTGCCCCCCTTTCTGACGTTTCCAATAGGAGCTAAATAGGAAACTGACTTTTTCTTTTCAATGAAAGATTTTTCCACAGGAAAAATGGAGGAGCAGAAACCATTACCAGTCTTCTTAGAACAAGTTAGATTTCCAAGCCAGCAGCATGCCAGGTCAGAGGAAGAGAATGCTGATTAGCCCCAAACAAAATCTATTCTGCCATTATGTCAACAGTGCAGGGCTGTTCCCCAAAGGACATAGTCCAGCATTCTGCACAACCTCACTCTTAGACTCTTTAAAATGCCAGCCCAGGAACCTTATATAATCTTATTTCCAATGTTTTTCCCCCTCAGTTAATACTGTTCCTTCCAGTTTAAATGCATTTCAACCTTTTAATTATTTTCTCTCCTTTCTTCAATTATCTATCTATAAATGTTTGAAGGATGAAAAATACTTTCTCTCTCCTCTGTTGCTTGTGGCATTTTGATAACACATATTTAGTTTGAGTTTAATCACACCTCTCAAGCCAAAATATCCTGGTAACTTTATTTATTACTTCTCTCTGACCTTCCTAAGACTTTTCAAAGAAGGATTTCTGGGGCAGAATAAAATGTTTTTAATACCATTGTCACTCCTCCACTCCTCAAATCAACATGCAAAAATCATATTTTTTATTACAAATGCATCCTTCATTTAATGTCTCAGGTTATCTAGAGATCTATCATTATTATATTTGTCCAGGTTTCATCATGCCATGGAGTATCTGTATCTCAAATTATTTTTCTCTTGATATGATTATGGACATATTTCCCGTCTGATTCTTTTTTTGTCATTTTAATTTCCTTTGATGCTTTAGAATTACTTTTTTCCCCTGTTTCCACTAGCGTCAACAGAAAAGGACTCCTGATGAGATCTCTGCAGGTTTCACAGCATACTGATATCCTCCAAACCCAGAGGAGATTCTACCTCTTCTGTTATTCTACCAAATTTCAACATTTACACAACACTTCATATTTTCAAGAGGTAACACAGAACACACAGACACACAGATCCCATTAATCTTCAAATACAGAACCTGAATTCCTTTCCCTACTTCTAAACCACCATGTAAAATTCTGCATTTAGGGGTGTTGCTTGTCACACTTCACAGGAGGTAGAGAGAGAATGGAGAAATCCTCACATTTCCAGGTAAAGGAAAGTATCTTGTCTATCCAATCTTGACATACCTCACTGCATTGCCAGCCCTGCCTGTTTAAGCTCATGAAGATGTCTTAAAAATTTACTCAAATGCAACAAGAAACCCAGATAATCATGTCCAAGAGCAGTCACCAGCCCCAAACTTACACAAGGATGCCACCACAGGACTAGGAAAATCTGGGTGCAGCTCCCCACAAAAACTACTACCATCTTAAACTTCTGTGATGGTATGAAGTTAGTTTTAATCCATGTTCAAGAGCAGACAGACACCTCTCTTGGCCACAATGCATCAGGCTGGCAGTCTCCAGGAGGTGAGTGTGAGGGACATTTGGTTGCAGGAATAATTTTGGCAGTTCCAGATGAACTGATTAGCTCTGCCAGTTTGTGCTGCCATGCACCAGCCATGATAACTGCCACCCCATGCTCAAACTGGGAAAGGCTGTTCAGTGCCAGTGAAACAGTGCAATTAACACAGACTTCTTAAAAACAAAACAAAACAAAAAAACCCAAAACAAAACACCAAACCACACTTCAGTATGATATATGTTGACCTATAGTTCAAAGTAAAGCCATAATTCCTGTGTTTTCTATTCCTTCTGATGCTCTGTTCCCAAAGAAATCATTCATTCACATCAGGTAGGAATTCAAAGCAGCTGTCCCCTTGCAAAATCTTGGTATCTGATTTGTGAGCAAGCCCTCAGGGCACAAGAAGGATATGGTTACCCATCTGGGCTCTGCTTTCAGGCCCCTATTCTCAGCCCTACAAAGGTCCAGTCATGTCCTTGCAAGTGCCAACTTTCTTCCCTAAGTCAGGGGTTTCCCTACACAGATCAGTACAAATTGATCCCACATTTTGTTTAAAAAACAAATTAGCTAAAGCAGTGAAAAAATCCCTAATGGGGACACATTTCTAAGAGCTTATGCAGCTTTAAGTTAATTAATGAACTTTGCAGCTCCAAGCTAAGCGGAGGAACGATGAGTAACCGATGAGTAACTGCACGTGGCGATACCTTGTGGAAGGGTGGGAGCTGGGGACGACAACTCAACAAGGAGCAATGTGGTTCAGCAAATGTGACACAGGATGAATTCTTTCAGCAGACAGCAGGTGGTGATCCAAGATCACGGCACTGGAGCGCAAAGAGCAAACACCAGAAATGCACACAAAGGCCTCCTGCTTCCATAAAACTGTCAAAGATCAGTCTGTTCTGTGAAGGAGTGGTTTTGTTTTCCTCATCAGAGAAATGGGTGTAAGTAGAGGGATATGAAAGGAGTCTTATAGCAATGCAACTCCAGATCTCTTTTGCTATGCCATAATATGCATAGATAGAAAACCTTAACCAGCCAAATAAAAATTACACTCCTGGTAAAGCTAAGCTAGTAAAATTTCTGTATAGATGTGGCAAACTGCCATAAGGTAACTGGTCTGTGTTATCCATAACCCTACTGTGAGTCATCAGCATCACACAAAGGTGCAGGGAAATGGTACAGCATATAAACATCAAACAATCTCTTAAAAATGCCTTTGAACTCTGCTAACCCCCAAATCACTGGGATGTGGGTATAAGCCTATTAGTGGAATGGGGTTTCTAATACATACGTCTTCACTGAACTAATTTTATGAATCCTCAAAGCAACTGACTTGCAGCTAA